GTAATTTGCATTAATTTTTCTTCTGTACTTTTTCCCCTTAGAAACCTCATGACTTAAATATTCATTTCAGCAAGCCTATTAAAGTAAGCAAGTTACATCTCTAGCATTCCTAAGATAGGCCTATGACTGCTTAGTGGAGACCCAAGAGCAGTTAATAGGAACTTGTCAGAGTAAGTCCTTGGGATTGGGGGTATTATGATGTTCACTAGCATGTCATTTATTTATGCAATAAATATTTAGTAAGGACATACAGTGTCTCAAACACTGAGATAGATCATGAATATATACCAACAGGTAAGATGAAGAATTCATTCTAGCAAAGACAAAATAAGCAAGGGAAATGAGGTGAGTGAATATCGTAGCAAACTCCTTATTTGCCAAAAGTTCTGTATGGTGTGAGAATGATTATCTCTTGCTATCATATGAGACAGTTCAAAGAAATGAAACAACTTTGGAAGGTTCAGTCTGGCATGGTTAGTGCATTGCACAATCAGGATGAGAATCTATAATTATCAAGACACTCAAATTCTTTCTATAGTCCCTTTCTCAAAAGAAATTAACTAGAATGTTGAAACCATAAGCCAGAGAAAGCCGTCATCAAGATGATGAATAGCAGTATCAGGCCTCATCTGTCACATAAACACTGGTTTGGCAGCCATGTGCTGAGCGAAGTGCCTTTGCAAGAGCTTTGCAATCCAGGTAGGAGGATGTAGCACCCTAGTGTCCAAGAGCAAGGAGAGCAGCTTTCCGAAGGCAGGCCAGCTGAAAGCAGATCTGAGTGTGGAACTGATCTAGAAGTGGCCTGATAACTCATCCATAGCCCCACTCAACCATCTCCCAGAGTCTCTTTCTCCTAGGGACCCAAAAGGAGCTACCGCATATCCCAACAAAATAAACAAGATGAAAATGTATCCAACTGAACAGGAAAAAAATATTTGTAGAGCATATACCTGATAAAGAGTAAATATTCCGAGTATATAAGGAACCCCTACAACTCAGTAACAATAACAACAACAACAACCAAAACACACAAATAATATGAAAATGTATCCAACTGAACAGGAAAAAAATATTTGTAGAGCATATACCTGATAAAGAGTAAATATTCCGAGTATATAAGGAACCCCTACAACTCAGTAACAATAACAACAACAACAACCAAAAAACACAAATAATTCAGTTTTAAAAACAGGCAAAGGACCTGAATATACATTTCTCCAAAGAGGATATATACAAAATGCCAACAGATATGTGAAAGTGAAATCGCTCAGTCGTGTCCGACCTTTGTCAACCCCACGAACTGTAGCCTGCATCAGGCTTCTACATCTATGGGATTTTCCAGACAAGAGTACCGGAGTGGGTTGTCATTTCCTTCTCCAGGGGATCTTCCCGACCCAGGGATCGAACCCAGGTCTCCCACCTTGCAGGCAGACGCTTTACCCTCTGAACCACCAGGGAAGCTCAGGTATGTGAAAAGGTGCTCAAAATCACTAATCATCAGGAAATTCAAACCAAAACTACAACAGGATATCACCTCACACCTGTTAGGATGGCTAATATGAAAAAGCCAAAAGATAAAAAAATGTTGGTAAAACTATGAAAATAATTGTATACTGTTAATGGGAATGTAAAATAGTACAGCTATGGAAGAGTGTGAAGAGTTTCCTTGAAAAATTTAAAATACTGCTCCCATATATTCCAGGAACCCTATTTCTTGGCATGTATATCCAAAGGAATTGAAGCCTCAAAAAGATATTACCACTCCCATGCTCACTGCAGCATTATTCATAATAGTTAACATATGGCTGTTTAGTTGCTAAGTCGTGTCCAACTCTTTGCAGCCCCGTGGACCACAGCCCAACAGGCTCCTCTGTCCATGGGATTTTTCAGGAAAGAATACTGGAGTGGGTTGCCATTTATATCCATCAGTGCATGAAAGGGTAAGGAAATGTAGTATATATATATATACACAATGGAATATTACTCAGCGTTAAAAAAGAAGGAAATCCAGCCATTTGCAAAAACATGGACAGACCTGGTGGGCAATGTGCTAACTGAAAAGAGTCAAATACAGAAAAACAAATACTGTATGATCTCATAGGTCAAAACTAAAATAGCCAAAACTCACCAAAGTAGACAGCAAAATAATGGTTATAAGGTGCAAAGGAAAATAAGAAATTGATGATCAAAGAGTACCAAGCTCAGTTATACCAGATAAATCAGTTCTGGAGATCTATTGTAAAATATTGTGCCTATAGTTAATAATATTGCATTGTATATACAAAAGGTTTTTAAGTGGGTAGATCTTATATTAGGTGCTCTTATCACAAAAGAAAAAAAGGAAGGAGTGGGAGGACATTTTTGGAGGTTATGAATAGGTATATAGCACTGATAGTGATGATCGTTTCACAGGTATAATTTATCTTCAAACACCTCAAGTTGCATATATTAAATATTCACAGCTTTTTACATATCTATCATACTTGAAAAAAAAAAGGTGTTGCCTTTTTTCTTAAAAAGCATGCAAAATCAAGTTATTTAGAGAATGTGTGCCAAGAAGCAAAGATCAAAAAGACATACACAGCATAGTAATCATTCTCCCAGCAAACAATCTCTTCATGTTTTCTCTGTGCTTTGAATTAAATAGTAGAGTATTTAAGGAAGTGTGCTAAAATGTAGGTGAACATTAATAGACATGTAAGTTGAGGACAAACGGTGGTGGGGAAAGAGACAGTTTATGTGCTTTAATTGTTTTGTTTTGAAGATGAATATATTAAAAAATCAGCTAATTTGGGGAAAATGTATATGCTACATTTCTTTTATAAAGTATTCTAATGGAACACTTAATAGAAATCAGTATTATTCTGCCTTGACACTTTATGAATAAAAATTTTTCAGCAGTAACACCATATAGTCTTTAAGTTTCTTTTTTACAAATGTGACAAATATTAAGAGAAAGAAAATAGAATGGCAGTGTTACAATTGCAAGATAAAACTGCTGTCATTTTTTAAGTTCTTCCTCGTTTTACAAAAGCAGTGAGAAAAATTGTGAGAGTACTTTCTTTTCTAAGTAGTTTGGAATGATATTATTTAGCTTTGATAACACTATCATTTATTTAGCATCAATATTAATGATTTGGAATGGGACTAAAATTACAGTAATGAAATTCATAGCTGACACTAAGTCCTCAGCTGTTAGAACTGCCGGCGTGAGATAAATATACAAAATGACTTGCACTTCTTAGAACCTTGGTTTATAAATTGCAATGGGAGTCTTAACATGCACTTGGAGTTTGGGGAGCAAGCAATAGATATTTCCAGTGAGGAAAGAAACTCTGAATTGAAAAATAGTATTTAAAAAACAATATACCAAATAAAAGAAGATCAGCTCATTTCATTTGAGTACTACTTTGTTGCTTTTATGCTCTTTGTAAAGGAAAACTGTGTATTACTCTTTTAAATATAAATTACTCACAGGGACTCTGGGGCTAAAGTCCTGTCCCTGGAATATTCTTACCAACATCAGCTCAGTCCCTTGGAATGTTTGATTAAAAAAAACAATTTCCTGAGAAGTTGAGGTGCAATGACATCTCAGAGAACAAGCTGAGCTGCCCTCTCGAGTACCTACTACTATCTGCCATTAATCGGGGCAGTGGCACTGGTACCTAATGCCCGTCCCCATGAGGGCGTTAAGGCACTGGTACCTAATGCCCGTCCCCATGAGGGCATTAAATCAAGGGAACACAGGGAACGTAATGGGAGCCAAGTTTACATATGTGCAAGAAGCTTTTCTTCTCAGCTTCTGCCTACAGAACATGGACCTTTCAGCAAAGCCCGAGCAGTGTAATTCCACCCTCCTCCCAAGTGAAAGTGAAAGTTGTTCAGTCGTGTCTGACTCTGTGACCCCAGAGACTACACAGTCCATGGAATTCTCCAGGCCAGAATACTGAAGTGGGTAGCCTTTCCTTTCTCCAGGGGATCTTCTCAACCCAGGAATTGAACTGGGGTCTCCTGCAATTCAGGCAGATTTTGTACCAACTGAGCTATCAAGGAAGCCCCAGCCCCAGCTATTCCCGAAAAGTTGATCACAGAGGCATCAGGGGCAAAGAAGAACACCTTGGATAATAAGTGCCAGGTCCTTAGCAGAGAACAACAGAGAAAAAAACATTCTTTAAACCAACTGCAGGTTTTTTTAAACCCCCAAACTGGGGGGTGTGAAATGATTTTCTGAGGGAAGAACTTAATTTTGAGAAGTTTATGAAAAATAAGAAGTTAAAGACCATCCTCATCAACTCCACCATAAGAGCAGCTACCATTCACTATTAACCAGCTACGTGGTGGGTGTTCCAACTGGTACTTTATACACGTGACTCCATTTTGTGTAGACAGCATCCCTCTACAAAGTATTATTCGTACCATTAAACATACAACCAACTGGTACTTTATACATGTGACTCCATTTTGTGTAGACAGCATCCCTCTACAAAGTGTTATTTGTACCACTAAACACACAAAGAAATGACTTCTCAAAAAGTGCTAGTAATGTAAAGAAGAAAGTTTGGCTAGTATCACAGTCCACACACAGCCAAGGGCAGGGAGCCTGGCTTCCAAATTTGATGGTATTTTCACCCAGTGTGGTAACTACCTACAAAAGATTATCAGAATTTAGATAAATGTAGAAAATGATACCAAGATCAAACTAGACTAACACAAATTCCCATGGATTAGTAGGCAATGAATTTTCACTGGTGTATATTAAGAAGGAATTAAGAATTTATATCAGAATGCCAACACAATATTTACATGTGTATAGAATTAGCATATGTTAACTTTATAAAATTCTCTACATAAAATTCTGTGCATTTTTCCCCTGTATTCATATGTTTTCTTTCTTAAGCCAAAAGTATAACACTTGGTGTACTTTTAATTTCTTATAAGAACTGTACAGTAAATGACTTTACATGACTATTAATGACAAAATTTCTAAACCCCAGACTTACATAAACTGGCTCTCCATTCTAGATCTGTGACTTATCAAGGCTTATGCCTTTTTGAGAGGGCTACATATTACCGATGGAGTAGGAAATGGCAACCCACTCCAGTGTTCTTGCTTGGAAAATTACATGGATGGAGGAGCCTGGTGGGTCACAGTCCCTGAGGTCACAGAGAGTCAGACACAACAGAGTGACTGAGGACATACACATATTACCAAAGCAGATATGATGGCATTTAGGCAAGGCAGGAGGAGAAGGGGATGACAGAGGATGAGATGGTTGGATGGCATCACCAACTCAGTGAACATGAGTTTGAGCAAGCTCCAGGAGTTGGTGATGGAGAGGGAGGCCTGGCATGCTGCAGTCCATGGGGTCGAGAAGAGTTGGACACGACTGAGCGACTAAACTGAAGCAAAGGTAATACTATCAGTAATAACTGTAGAGTCATCAGTTAACTCTCCTCCCTAAAGATTTTTACAAAGAAATGTGATTATTTAGAACTAAATAGAAATTAAATTTTCCCCCTAAAAATAAAATCACAAATGCTTATAATATGCAGTAAAAGGAAAAAATCCTCAAGAGAAAACTTGGCTTAAAGTCTCTTAAATCCTGATAACCACTTGCTTAAGCAACCATTCTCTGACCACAGGAGATGGAAGAAGTTCAGGAAGTTGAAACAGAATGTTGTGGGAGTCCGTGGTATAGCATTGTTGCTAAGCAAGGGATAGTGCATCGCAGAGAAGAGGATGAGACAATTAGCTCCTTTGTTAGGTAGGAAAAGAGGAGAAGGCATATCAATAAGTGAAAAAAAGTTTCTATAAACTATGTTCAAAATTTAAAAAGCGTGCCCCACCTCTAGCATCATCTTCTTGCTGAAACAATGCTGAATTTCTACACAGCTTGTCATCCCTGTCCAATACTAAGAACAAATTATTTCTGAAGTTCCTATTTGTTGCACATCACATTCCTGTCACAAGTGTCACTGATAACCCTTTTGCAAAGACAGTTTTGAATCTACAAAACACTATAACAGGACTAACAGTCAATTTCACTTCAGAATTATAAAAAAGATAAAAACAAAGCCCAATATTGCAGGTGACTCAGGATTCTCACAGAATAGATAAAGCAGGAAATTTGAAAGCCTCATATTTTGACAAAAATTTCAGTGAAGAGGTAAAATAATATAGAATATTAATTCCTTTTCCAAAAAAAAAATAATAATGTAAATTAATGAGAAATAGGGATAACAACTCTAGCTTCATGGAATCTTTTTTTATAGACATATAATGGATAAATTGATCTACTGACATGGGCTAATATAATTTTAAAAATTAAACTTTCAAAACCATAGCAAGAAGCTGTCTTAGTCTACTGGAGTTACCAGAACAGAACACTATAGGCTAGGTGGCTTAAATGACAGATATTTATTTTCTCACACTCTGGAAGCTGGAAAACTCAAGATCAAGGTCCTGAAGGTTTCAATCCTACTCCTCCAAAATAAATAAGTAAATAAACAATCTTTTTTAAAATAAAGTATCATCCCATTAATTTATGAGATCTTTTCAATATATAGTTTGAGTATCTCGTTATTATACTCTTTATTTCAATTATAACTGGTAGCTAACAGAGGAAGTCAAAATTAAATGCTAAATTGGATGTATAGTGTGTTTTATTATATTTTCAGAAAAGTTTAAACAGTCTCTTCTTTCAAAGAGATAGCATAGACATGGAAAACTATAAGATAAATAGACTGGAAAAAATGCTATACAAGAACAGAATTAAATGAAAGATATTCTAGGTAACATAATTTGATGTGAGTACTCTCCATTATTACGGGAAAGATTATGTCATGATAAAAGGAAATCTCATTATCTTGATTGGTCAGGATCATTATAATCTGCTAATAATTTGAATAATCTGACAGTCTATGAAGGTTTAGCGGACTTTCGGAAGCTATTTAAATTACCTAAATGCTTTGTGTGCTAGAATAAGAAGGTATGCCAAGATAAACTGTGCTTTGCAAAGGAATGAAACAGGTTGATCATTTAAATGAGAAATAAGTAAGAAGGGGAATTCAAAGCAGACAAAAACAACTGGGAGAGGTGAAGATAGAAAAAAGGAAAGCATTTTGATCTTTCTGGTGAAAGGCTTTAGGAATAATGAGAATATTGCAGATTTGGTGTTCAATGCAATGGAAAACTGATGAAGGGCTTTAGGTAGGGAAAGATGGGTCAGTGTGACAGATGAAGAAGCCAGCTTTGACAATAACAGCCAGACAGATGAAAAGTACTCGATCCTGAAAATGGGAAATCAAGCGAAAATGAGGTAGTAGCTGGCAAGCAGAAGATAATCATGTCTATTTTACAGTGAGAAAATAATATAAAGAGGAACAGGGACTAGAACGCAGAAAGCAATTGTAGTGCTTCCTTGAGGAACTGGCGAAATGTAAGTTATCAAAAGATAATTATTGAATGAAACAATTAGTGATTCAGTGAATGATAGTATGTTCAGTTGAACAAACACATTTAGTACACTTTCTGTATCAGGTGAGTTTGTTGCTACAGGTGGATAGCAAAAATGGTGTCTGAGCTTCCTTCTTTGTTGCACTAAAGAGATGACGACATTTCCAACAACAAATAGAAATCTACATTTAATCTTTATGGATGCATTCTAGTTTTGCTGGGACTTAATCCTAACGTCATCGACTACTTGGAAAATATTTATTGTTGACTGGCAAAAAGAAGGCATTTTCAAGTGTAACTTCTAAGCTTTCAAGCTTACTAGCAAATTGAATATTAAAGTCAATATAATTTGCATATATGAAGATTTATATGCATAGAAGTGAATTTTTCAGAATGTTTCTATCTATCTCAGCCCCTGGAAAATGAGAAAAATGAAACATTAAACTGAGTCTTGCAGCTTACCTCCTCTGTCATTTATGACACCTAATTCTGCATCTTGCAAAATAAGAGTATAATGTCAGAAAGCATTTGGTTGATGGTTGAAGAAAATATTAAATGATGCTGTTATTCACCTACAAATGTCAGTGCCAAATAATACAGCAGTGCCTTGCTCCTGGATTTGTATATTCTCTACCCACAGGTTTAAGAACCAGCGCAAAAGAGGAATGAAAGATATTCTGCCTTGAGCTTCAGGTATTGTTTAAGGCATATTTGCAATAATGATGTCTTCTTCATTGGAATATTATAAAGTATTTTTAGATCTGAAATGCCTTTGAAATATTACAAAGTATTTTCAAATCTAAAATGAGTTATTCAAGAGAAAGTAAATCCCTTGCAAGCTATTTGAATTATCTATGTAGAAAATAGCTATTTCTAGTCCATAGTATTAGAAAAACAATCATCTTCCCTGACACTGTTTCTTCCACTTTCCTTGCTGAAATAAGTAACTTATCATGGTGCTTCATATTGGACCCTGCCAAAACTAAAGATAACAGCTTTACTTATAATATAAATACACACAATCTTAGCATAGGTTTTTGGCAATAGATACTGAACTTTTAAAAATAGTCATATTGCATTGCTTCTAGGATGTTTTGAAATCTCTCAAGTATTGATTGGAAAGAGTTTTACTTTCTTGGTCAATCACAGAATTCAGTGTGGCTTAGATTTGATGAAATAGAGTAAGATAAATTGTTATGCCCAGTAATAAGTTCCCAATGTATCTTTGAATTTGTGGCCCAAAGATAAATTTTAAATAGGGTATGAAAAGGTGAAGACTTTCTTGCAAGACCTGTGAAGTTATAATTTGGGATGTGTTAACTATATGATCAGTGGCACAATTTTTACTCAGTGAACTTTTTGCTTGACCAGGAACTTGTTTAAAATGGCTACTTTCACCTTCACTTGGAGGCAAACTTTAATGTCCAAGAGACAAGTATAGCTGTTTAGGTAATTAAATAGTTTGTTTTATTTAATGTTTGAGTGGGGGGGGGNCCTGACAGTGTGAAGGTAGCAAGCTTAATTACCACTTCTAGAGACACTGCAAATCACTTGTGTGACCATTCTGTCTTAATTATATAGCAAGATGAAAATGGTACCACTGCCCAAGACAGAATGTTTGTTATAAAACCTGCCACACGGGGAGATGAAATAGTAAAGTTAGAATTACCTTAACGGCTAAAACACCAGCTTGGGAATCCAGCAACTACTGCTGTTTAATCTCTCTCCATCTTTTCCTCACAAGGCCAACACTCTGTTGGTTATATTAATTAAATGAAAATGATTATATTTCTAGTTTCTGTGAGATAATACACAAATAACACAATCAAGACAGGTAGCAATTTTTGTTCCTCAGAAGAAAAAGATCACTTCAACACAAATAAAAGGAGGAAAAATTATGAAAAATAAATCAGAATTATCATTTATCAGGGTGGATAGAAATTTGATTTGTGATAAAGTTACAAGTTATGCTAAGTGAATTTTTGTTAAATAAGAAATATTTCAAGTTTTCAAGGCTCAATTTCCCAGTGATTTGGTGGGACTGTGGTTTTTATTATGTTCCTACTAGAAAAAAAAATCCTGATGTCACTACCTAAAGTACTTGGCAAGCTGCTCACAATGCACCGCACCTCTAGGAAATAGAACCGGTGCCTAACACATTTCTTTAAGCAGGTGATCTGCGAATCCAGATGGTTTCCTAAGCAAGTTTCATTGTATTTCCAATCTCAGAAGTTAGAGGCAGAAAAATATAGGCAAGATATTCAATATAGATATATTTCAGAGGAGGTAAAGTAGCATTCTTGAATAAACAACTTAAAAATTCATGAGGAACGATAGCATAGCCTGTGTGAGGCTTATTTGAACAGGGATGCAGAGATAGGCATGGGTCCTGGCTGCATGACCCCAGCTTAATTATAGAGCCCCTAAGCATTTGCCAACAAAGGTCCATCTAGTCAAAGCTATGGTTTCTCCAGTAGTCATGTATAGATGTGAGAGTTGGACTATAAAGAAAGCTGAGCACCGAAGAATTGATGCTTTTGAACTGTGGTGNAAAGCAATTTTAAGCTGGCTAAACCAACAAAGCAGAGAAGCTAAATGTAGAACAAAAATGGAAGAGAAAGCACCACGTGCTCTTCTCAA